ATTAAGAATGGAATTTTTAGGTTCAGCAAACGATTTTGGTGTACTGGAACCAGGAGAATGTACAAGTATCAATATTATCTTTTGTCCAGGCAAGTATGTAGAACAGCATTTTGTTAACATGCATTGTATAAAAACAATCGTGGTACAATTATTTCTATTGCCATAAATGGAAAATTCTATTTCATTAAAAAATTAGTTAAAATGTATTATTACCTCTCATTTTTATATTTCCAATTCTTAACAGCTGGACCAGGGAACTATGCTGCTGAAATACCTGTGATTCTGAATGACAATCCAGACAGTATTTACACTCCGCTCTCTTTGTTTGGAACCTCTAGAAAACCAAAATTAACTTTTGACCCACCACTTGTCATACTTACTCCAGTGCCCTTGGACACAGAAGTTCAAGCAATTGTTGAAATAACACCTACAGATTATTACAGGTATATTTACCTATGGTATATTAAACTATTAATACTACTAAACATGTTTTATACTGTATGTGAACATAACAAAAATTGTTTTGGAATTGCAAGTCACTAAATACAGAAATATGTTTTACAAACAGATGCAGGTTTGTTAGAACAACTGTACACAAAAATGTAAATGTATTTCTTTAAATATCCCAGTAAAGTAAATTAAAATTTACAGAAGTTTACCTTTAACATACCACAAGCATCATATTTTCACTAATGAATATCTAGTGATCCTGCCAATCAAAGAGCCTTTCTTTTGTAGGGTAACAATGCTGAACTCTCTGCTCACCGCAGTGCTGTCACCCTGCACAGCTGCATCTTTTTGCATGTTGAGCATTATCAGGAATGACACTACCGATATTACTTCCCTCCCTACCAATCAGTGCAGGATTAATGATCCAAGAGGTTGCCATCTAAAAGAAATGACATAGGGCACACCCCCCCCCCCCCCCCTTGGATTGTGCCTCTTTGCTCTGTAACTGAAGTCCTCACTGGAAGTCAATGACATGAGTTCTTTGCTCCTAGAGTAAGTGAGTAAAAAAAAAAAACAACAACCACAAGGAATGCATCTAAAGGGTGGGCAACACATTTAATAATATATAGCAAGAGAGAGACTGTAAGATATGTAAATGTTAGCATGTAAAATCACCTGTAGAAATTAGAAAGCGGTGCCTGTTACCTGTGACTTTGGCAAGACTAGAAGACAATTGGTTTGTTTATTTGCTTCTATGCCAATGCCTTTTTAGGGGGAAGGTTATCATCTGGGTTGGAATTTTTGGTCTAGTAGCTTTATGTTTCCTTGTAACAAGAGCAGCCATTGTGTTGTCTGCCTACATAAACAAGGTATAAATATCTGGCTGCTTGTGATACCTATATAATTATTTGTACTTCATGTTTTCTTAAAAACCTTTTTGTTTAGGAAATCTGCAATAAATGTGGAAATTCCAGAGGTAGAACTTGAGAACGGTGAAAGGGTAGAAGTGTTTTCAGCCTACTTTCCCAATGGACAGATTATTAACAATTCCAGCCAACAGAGTGAAAAACTTATCTGTTGGATCTGCTTCAGATCCTCTAGCCCACTGTGTTGCCTGGTTGATCTGGTATTCACTGATGAAGAAAACAACAAGTAAGTTACTTTTTAGAAAAATATGCAAAAGTCATTGTATTTATTGTCTGATGGAAGTACACATTGAAATGATATAAATTGCAGTTATTAACATCTCAGCATGTCTGGGTTTCCTCTTCCCTGCCAAGTGGACTTCATGAGGAAATAAATCCAGTTCAGCTTCATTCAGTTTACTGTGCATCTCAAGAAAATCTCAGCAGTATATAGAGCACGAAATTCCCCTTTCACTTAAAACTGTATCTTCTCAATCTGATTTTCAGATTTAAAGCCGCTTCATTATACTTTTAGAAACACACTCTATGGAGCAGGAACAGAATAGCAGATCATAATTGTCAAAGTGTTAAAAGAAAACACAAATTATATTGTTCAGTGTTTGCACAGTACAATTCAAGAAAGTAATTTTCTTTGTCATGATTTAAATACAGTATAATAACTCTGTTATTTCAAATGTCTGTTTTGTAACAAGAATTGTTTCATTTTTGTTGGTATTTAAATAATTTCTGTATTGTTCTGTGCAAAGGCAAATATGAGATGCTGAGTGAATGGTATGTTAACCTCAAAGTCATGGCAATGTGGGACATATAAACAAAACTGTATATACTGAGCGCTAAGATAAAAAAATAAAAAAATTGAAAGCAGCTAGCACAAATGGTGAACCCACTCCATATCACAATAAAACAATAAAGGTGCTGTGCTATATAAAATAATATTGATGATAAGTGCATATATCTGAAGATCAAAAAACCCATATAGATGAAATGTGATAAAGTAGCCCATAAATGTTGCTACATGACAAAACTATATGAAATGTGCAATCATAAATAATAGTCACCCAATAAACTGTCCAAATGAATAAACAGGAAGTCCTTAAACCAATATTTTTCAGTGCAAAGAGTGGTCAGTGGCATAAAAGCTGCACCCACAATTAGTATGAATCGCAGTCCTGAATAGAGTGAAGTGACATCCCAATGTGGAAATAAGACATCTGTGAAATCTTTCACCAATATGCACTCATCAGAACTTAAGTATAACAGGCTTGTAGTAAAAAATCCTCTAAGGTATGCATATCTCCTGCTCAAAAGGGCTGGTACATGGTCTTCAGTAGTGTGTCCTAAAAAAGGAGAGATGTATCAATCGTAACTGGTCTGCAAATTGATTTTTCCCCACAGAAGGCGGAAATCTCTTTAATTAATAATGCATTTTTTTTCATGCCACTAGTGTAAGTAAAGTACCCAACGTTTGTCTTAATATCAATCACTTGCTATCACCTGTAAGGACAAATTGAGACTGGGAGAGAAAGGGGCAGTAGTAGGAGCCAATTAATTGAACTGCATACAAATGTATTGAGAAGGGATATGTTACACTACCGCAGCTAAACAGATTTTGGCCAAATCATAGAAGGCACCGTCTCTATGCACACTAGCAGTTCGAAACAAGTTTACACAAGCAATGATTCACACCAAAGGCCACTATTTTAGATTTGATCCCTAAGTTTCTATTGATCTGGACCGCATGGGTGTAACGTTTCCTTCCACCAAACTTTGATAACTCGTTGCTTCTTCCCTGACGCCCTCTTATCCTACATCAAGATAGTCCTAAGAGCCGCGTTTTGTGTTGTCCTGGTTTCCGAGATTTTCTATTCTCTTCTGGAAGTCACGCGCCCTCTCTCTCTCCTTCATTCTCACTTTTAGTCTCTTGTAATTCTCCACCCCTTTCTTCTTTCCTTCTTTTTCCTTTTTATTCTTCCAGTTCACTTTTGCCCCCCCCTCCTCTTGCCTCATACGGATCCCCCAAATGGTCATTGGGAACAGTGCTCCATTTCAGTTGTACATTTAGATTCTATTTTCCCATGTACCACACTGTCCCTTCATGTTTTTATATGGTTCCTCGTAACAAGATTTTCATGTAATAATCCTCCTTCCCTGTAGGGCAACATGTTTTTCTGTATTCACTTATGCCTGTATATGTTCATGGACTGTCCTACGTCTGTTTCTTTTCATGTTTCTGAAATCAATAAAAAGTTTGAACAAGAAAAGGGACATGTTGTAAGGTGTGGTGTTTTGGGGTAATTAATTTAATAATGAATTGGTCGGTGTCTGATTCCCGTATATAATTATGACACAGTACGGCAAATAATTTAATTAATAATATTAGATAAAAAACATAAACGTGCAGCGCTGCTAAAACCAATAAATACATATATAAACATGTAAGAAAGTGCACACAAATATATAAAGTGACACTGTGCATTTATGTATGTGCCACTAGAATATGTGGCCAATATAAACGTGAAAGAAAACACTGTGTCTAAAACATAGGTCCAGAGTGCAGGTGTGAACGAGATCTCAAATGATCTTCTTGTATCCAAAAGACACAGATTGTGGATAAGGTGAGACAATTAAAGTGTAGATTGCGCACTCACCAGATACGCAACCTTTTTGCGCATTTGTATGATATAATAAGGACATCAGACTTCAGACATCTCATCAAAAAGGTCTGGTCAGATCTGGTCAATGCCTCCTTCGCTATCCCACGGTTTGCACTTAGTCTTCCCAAATGGTAACCACTCTGCGGATGTACCTGGCTCCCACAGGAGCTCAGAAAGAAACAACAGAGGAGGCCAGTAGTGCAATATTGCCTTAGGATGTTTATTCCACACAATGGGTATGTATACAGCAAGAAAGCAAATAAAATAGATTACTGACCGATTACAAGCTGCCGCCGGGACCCCTTGTGGTGCCGGCGGTAAGGCGTCAAAACAGCTACAGCCCGACACTGACGCGTTTCGAGCAAGTGCTCTTAGTCATAGGGTGTCCTGGCCATGGCTATGTTTTAGACACAGTGTTTTCTTTCACGTTTATATTGGCCACATATTCTAGTGGCACATACATAGATGCACAGTGTCACTTTATATATTTATGTGCACTTTCTTACATGTTTATATATGTATTTATTTATTGGTTTTAACAGCGCTGCACGTTTATGTTTTTTATCTGTTTTAGAGGTCTTATATGGTGCCTTTTGTGTACAGCTGCTGTAATCTGGGAATTGATAGACTGGAAGGCGCTCACTTACTTTATATGTTTTTAATTAATAATATTAACCACTAGCCTACCGGGCACTTATACCCCCTTCCTGTCCAGGCCAATTTCCAGCTTTCAGCGCTGTCACACTTTGAATGACAATTGCACGGTCTTGCAACACTGTACCCATATGACATTTTTATCATTTTTTTTTAGACAGAGCTTTCTTTTGGTGGTATTTAATCACCTCTGAGATTTTTATTTTTTCTTAAACAAACCAAAAACCACTGAAAATTTAAAAAAAAAAATTTTTTCTTAGTTTTTGTTATACAATTTTGTAAATAAGTGATTTTTTCTCCTTCACTGATGTGCGCTAATGAGGCTGCAGTGATGGACACTGATAGGTGGCACTGATGGGCACTGATGAGGAGGCACTGGTAGGTTACACTGATGGGCATTGACGGGCATCACTGATGGGTACTGAAAGGCAGCACTGATATATGGCACTGACAGGTGGCACTGATAGGCAGCACTGACTGGCACTGATAGGCGGCACTGACTGGCACTGTTAGGCAGCACTGACTAGCACTATTAGGCGGCACTGACTGGCACTGATAGGCAGCACTGACTGGCACTGTTAGGCGGCACTGACTGGCACTGATAGGCAGCACTGATGCGCACTGATAGGCGACACTGACTGGCACTGATAGGTGGCACTGATTGGCAGCACTGAGAGGTGGCACTGATTGCCATTGATAGGTGGCACTGACTGGCACTGATGTGTGACATTGAAAGGCAGCTCAGATGTGCACTGATATGTGGCATTGATGTGCACTGGTAGGCACTGATATATGGCATTGATGTGGCACTGATGGGCACTGGCACGTGACACTGATGAGCACTGACTGCTGGCACTGATGGACACTGACAGGTGGCACTTCTGGGGCCACATTGATCATCAGGGCACACTGATCATCAGTGCCCTAATGATCAGTGTACATGTCCCCTCCGCGGAAAGCCGATTACCGGCTCTCGAGCTGTCAGCATGACAGCTCGAGAGGAGAGAAATGCCGATAACCGGCATTTCCGTGTTTACATGTGATCAGCTGTGATTGGACACAGCTGATCACATGACCGAGCCGACATCTTCGGCTCTTTCCGTGATCCGCTGTACCCGAGGGCCACAGCGCACCAGCGATCGCCGCGCTGCGTGCTCCCTGAGCCGCAAATGCGCGGTGAGAATGGAAGGACGTCATATGACGTCCTATCAGAATGAGAGAACCTTTACCTTGCGCCCGTCATTGTGCTATATGGCGGGCGGAAGGTGGTTAAATAATATAGACACCTTAATAAAATATACCACCACAATGTAATTTTCCTGAATTATTTTACCAATGTGATTTCTTACCCAGTATTCAAATATCATCAATTTGATTAATAAATAAATAACTTATTTATACACAAAAATATTTTATATATATTTTAATACAAGCTAATTTACTGGTGATAAGTATTTCCTACACACAATCAAAGAATAACCCACAATAAATTGCAATTAGGTCAATCATAAAATGTATACATAGCAAAATAAAATAACAACACCCTTGATTTCTCAGGGATTAGCAAGATTATATGTCGGCATTCAGTATATATTTACACGATTCTCGCGGCTAAAGAGAATTAGGAAAAATATTTCTGATATTATAAATACCTAAACATTTCAAGTGCGTCCTTGGAATAATTCGTTTACAACATACCAATATAAAAAAAATAAAAACTCTATTCTACAACCAATGCAACCCAACAATCTCCCTATACACCATCCAATCTTGATGGGTTAAACAAGATTTATGCTATCACGAAATAATGAGCAGTTTATATCACCATGCACAATACCAGCACTACAGCACAATAAAAATATTAATACAGTTCTAGTAATAATTTTGGGATAAATAAAAGTTATGATACTTGGCCACAATATCTCACCACTCCCAGGTATAGCATTCTTTGAGATCTTTGGGTGGAACAGCAGGTAGGTAAAAATGTTTCTTTTCAAGCAGCAGTCTTTCCAATCAACAGAAGTTTTCCTCTTTTTAGTAAGCAAGCAAAAATTGTGTTTTGTCAAAAGGATTCTCTCCAGCCAGAAAGTTGTTCTTTTTTCAAAAACCTATGTATCAAACAAAGAGTTCTCCTGCTTTTTCAAGCAAAAAAAGTTTCAGACTCTTTTTCAAAAATTAGTTTGTTTGTCTCTTAGCAGGCAAAAGGTTTTTACCCAATAAAGTTTTTTTTTTCCAGACAAAAGTCCTCCAGTATAAATACTGTGGGGATCCATTGTCTTTTGGGTCCAGCCATAGTACATGTTGATTGGACAGCCAAGGATGCCATTTATTCTAGATGTTCTTTACCTGTCCACAAGAAGCAGTCATGTTCCATGAATGAAAATGTTATTTCTTGTTTATGTGAAATGTATCTGTTTAGGTAAAATCTTAAGGAGTATTTCATTAAGAAAATATATGTCTTGATGAAATATCAAAGCGGCTCTCATATCCCTCTTGGTCA